TCTATCTATCTATCTATCTATCTATCTATCTATCTATCTATCTATCTGGTTTCTTTGTGTTTTTAAAAAATATTTGTTAAAATGAATACCGACAAATATGAGTAGATTTAACCAATAAACAGTAAATAAGTGTTGTTTTGTAACCTGGTTCACATCTTTTTCTTTGGTTTAATCAGACTGGGGGGGAATATTTTCTTTTCTCATCACGTTTTTCAGATTTTTGTGTATGAAAATGAAGAATAAAACAATAATCAATCAAAGCTGAACTGTTCCATAAAGCGGCCAGAGGACATTAGGAAACCTCAGTGCAGCTTTCTGACATCTAACACTAAGAAGGGACATTAGTCCTGACCCTCCCAACCTTTATGCGTTTCTCCTCTTCCTTTTAGTGTCGCCCACATTTCCTCTCTGCAGTTTAAGTAGTTTGAGTAGTTCCGGTTGATGGCAGCCGTGAATAAAAGGCCCTTAAACGTGTTGTTAACAAGCGGCCGGAGGAGGGAATCGATCCGGCTGAGAGGGCTGCATTCCTGCAAATGGATTAATGCAATCTGCCACCAAGAGAGTGTTCAGAAAGGCTGAATAGCCAAAGACTCTGGTAAAATAGCTCAGATTATTTTTAAAAAAGTTGGATTTTGCTTCTTATTTCAGCCACTTTTACTCTGGAACTCTTCCAGCATGCAAACAACATCTGAACCAACATCTAAACTGAACATTTCTTATGTGTCGTGAATAAAAACGGAAAAAGTGAAACGAAATGTTGGAAAACTGCTGAAAGAATCTGGTTATTTTTTCTTGGGTCAGTTTGGTTCTTCTTCTGCTCGCTGACCCACAGTTTTCCGCCGGTCCTCCCAGATTCGCTGAGACAAAACCCCTTTAAGCATGAGACTCCACAAAGAAAGTTTCTCTCAGGTAATCAAACCAGAAGAATATAAAGGTTTTAATTTATCATGAGCCTGAATAAAGGGGCTGAAAGCATGTCTGAATGACCACAAAATTCTTTCACAGAAATTAAAAGAAAAAGATCCTTCAATTACTTAATCACTTTATTTATCAAGGCTATCGGGGCTTTGATGACACTATCAGGCCCTTTCAGCCACTCAGAGAGTTTTCAGGGCTTTATCAGCCTAACAAAATATTCTTAACAAAGAGCTTCCACCTTTCCAACATCACATTTTCTGAGTCTGCATCTGAAGGCAAATCGATGCCACGTCCGTTATCAGTTCTCCCTGTGGCTGATAGTCGGATCACAGTCAACAAACTGGCGTTTAAATCTGAGTAATCGGTATTGAGAGTCACAGCATGTTTCTAAAAGGTGCTTTCAAATGCTTTTCTGCTCTGGAGGAGAGCGGAGAGCTGATTTTATTGTGTTTCCACTTCAGTTTCTCATAAAACACAAATGAAATCCAAACATTTGCACTGCAGGTTGATTTTCCAAAGTCTAAATGAAGCATGTTTGATCATTTATCCTGCTAGGAAATGTGAATATACTCAATATATATAGAGAGAGAGCTGTGTCTCAATAATTCATAGCATGAGCGGGTACATGAAAGCTGGAAAACTAACAAGAAAAAAGACGATTAAGAAATATAACGTTTTGCATTCAGGATTAATGAGACACAAAGTGTAGCCAGATGTTTATCTTTGTAACGTAGAGAGTCAAATTAATAATTTGAGTCATTTCCTGTGATTGTCCAGAAATCTGAGGCAGTTTCTCCTGTCTTGGTCTCCAGACTTTCTGTGTAAATGTGGAAAAGAGGCAGAAAGAACAGACGACCGGCTCTCTGTCATCTAAAAATATCAGCAGCCGGGAAAAGCAAAAACGGCCACTTGCATCCATGCTTTTACATATTTTTAGTCACCGTAACGGCAGGTGGTTGTTCTGCTGCCTGGGAGGGAGCAGGAGGACCCAGAAAACAACCCAAAGAAGGTTTCAGAGGCTGAGGAATGGAGTTAAGATGAACCGAAACCTAGAAAAGATGCACAGCCATTAGGAAGGGATTCAGTAATATTAATGTTCTGGTGATGTCAGGCCTGGACAGACAAAATAGAAATATTATTCAAATCTTTACACCTCCAGCAAAGTGCTGCTGACATTTTGTGTAATTTACTTTCAGCTTTGAGACTTTCCTGATTCCAGATGTTCACATCTTGATTGCTGGATCACGGTGGAAGCTTTGAATATTTTAAAACGTTTTTTAGTGGTACTGTCTTTTTGTGTCGGCTCGGAGGAATAACGTGTGTGTGTTTGTGCGTGTGTGTGTGTGTGTGTGTATGTGTGTGTGTGTGTGTGTTTATCTCTGGTGATGCTTTGTGCTGCTCTCTCTTTCTGCCTCCTCCTCCTCTTGTCAATGCTCCCCTCCAGTGGCAGAAAAGCTCCACAGCTACCTCCAACATCTGCTTTTGCTCTTCAGTTACTATCTGTGGTCGACTTATTGAATCTATCAGAGTGTCTGTAAATGTCTTTAGGGAACTCGGCTTTGATTCGTGCTTTGACGGATTCAGGTGTGACGTATTTGTGGACATCAACAGACCACCAGAAACAGGGAAGTTCACATTAGAGCGACCAGTTAGGAGGGACCAAAACGAGAGATTAAAATACGACAAGTGAGTTTTCCACCAACCGGACTCTGGTGTTTCCTGTCGGTGGAGAAGTGAGAAGAGCTGCAAACTGGACGGGATCAGGGGTCGTAAAAGGCCTGATAAGCCTGATAAAGGAAGTTTTTCCTTGCCTGTGTCGCCTAGTGCTTGCTCATGGTGGGAATTGTTGGGTTTCTGTAAATAACTTCGGAGTAGGGTCTGACCTGCTCTGTTTGGAAAGCGCTGTGAGACAACTGTTGTTGTGATGTGGCACTATATAAATGAAATTGAATTGAATGGAATTGAATAAGCTCATCAGGAGGAGGTGGAGATGAAAACCGAACCGGGATCAAACTGGCTGATGGACAAAGCAGAAAGACCACCGGACCATCATGAGAGAAGAACTCTGAAATGATGGAGGTGGAGCCGCTCTTTCCTCCAAACACCGGCTGACTTTGGCCCTCCGGGTCCCTCACACAGAGGTGGGGCAGGGCCTGAAACCAGAGCAGGCTCACAGGGTCTGACGCCCACAGATGGGCCTCAAAACGGGTCAGGAGCACCTACTGTTACCGTCCAGAAACCAAAAGGCTTCAAGTAGTTCCTCCTAACTGACTCAGGTCCTTTTTAGCGTTTTCATAAGTGAGTAAAAGCTCAGACTAAGTGGGCTGTAACAACGCCTCAGCTCGTCTCTCAGTGGGCATTCTGGTTAAATTCTGGTTAAATAGCAGTAAAACAGGATCTCTTGGTGTTTTCTATTCTAAATTAAACCATGTGTGTGTTTCCTGTGTTTGTTCGCCTGCCTGATGCCTAAAACAGAAAGAAGGAGCAGAATGTGGCAAAGACAAGTGTTCAAACTCTGGGGGTGAAGTCTGGCTTATGTTTTGTTTACACTACGTTCAGTCTGGGCTATATCTTCTACTCTATTAATGCCTCTGCTTTCATGTTTGTTTACAGGTAATCCTCCTTCCAAACCCACAAAGAAAACCATAAAGCAACGCTTCCTCAAGCTGCTGCCCTGCTTTCCCTCCGACTCCAGCTCCTCCGTGAACCAAGGCGAGTGTCAGCACCACAATTACAAAAAATAACATTTATTGGGTCACAGTTAAGTGTATCAGCTGGGCTCTAACAGACAAAAACCTCTCTCTGGGTCTCAGTGGGCAAGAGCCCTGAGATCTGGGTGATGGGCATTATCTCCTGGGCTCCATCCGCCTCCTCAAAGGAGGACTGGACACAACCAAGTCCTATTGGCCAGTTTCCTCTGGGCATGAACAGGCCAGGTCCTAATTCATGCAGATGACAGGAATGTGGTAACAAATGGTGTGTGTGTGTGTGTGTGTTGAACTAAAGGTGGATCTAATGCAACAGAGAGAGGAAAATAGAGAAAAGAGAGTCTGTGGACACAGCCAGAGACTTTAACACAAAAGTATAGTTCTAAAATTATTAAGACAATCAGTAATGAACATAGATTATGTGATAGCATACAATGCTAAAGCGAGCAATTATAGCCAAATTCTAACAAGTCCATTTAGGAAATGACACTGTAAAGCACATCAACCTCTGCATGAGGCTTGGAGAGGGCCATTGGTTTGTTTTTTTTCTCACTCTGAGTTGCATCTGTTAGACTTTCACTGCATTTCTTGTGTTTTCGGATTGATTTTTAGACCGAAAAATACTAGAAAAAAGCTGTTTTAGATACTGAGGAAAGACGCAGAGACTTCAACACAAAATATAGTTATAAAAGGAATAAAACAGTCCGTGATAGCATAAAATGCTAATTACAGCCAAACTCTAACCCGGCTGTTAGGGAGCCTGGACGAGGAGGCGGAGTTGTCCACGGTGTGGTACCGGCCCGAGGGGCTGGACCGCCTCGCCCAGCAGACCAAATTCAGCAAGAGGGAGCTCCAGATCCTCTACCGGGGATTCAAAAACGTCAGTCACAGATGTCTGGGACCGTCCCCCTGTTGTGGCGCCCTGGAAACCTGAATAAGCCAAACTAAAGCTGAGTTTCTGACCGTCTGTTCTCTGCAGGAGTGTCCGAGCGGCGCTGTGGACGAGGAGACGTTCAAAGGCATCTACTCCCAGTTCTTCCCCCAGGGAGGTCAGGACTCACCTGCTCTGGCTCTTTGTTTCAGATGTATTTGGAGTTTTTACGACATATTCATCTAAAAATTAGAAAGCTTTGACAACATTTTTAAAAAAGGAAAACGTCGAAAGTTTTTTTTTGCCCCTTTTGGTCTGTTTTACTTCATTAAAATGTAATTAAAATGTAATTAAAATGAATTTAAATTATTTAAATGAATTTAAAAAATGTTAAAATTCTTAATTCTTAATTAAAATGAATTAAAATTAATATAAAAAATGTTAAAATGATTTTATTTGCTCTGGATTTCTTGAGATGACATCTTGCAGCATTTTGGTTATTTAAATGTGATTTTAGAAATAAGATTCACCTCTATATTGATGAACATGCTGGATTCTGATCTCTCTTTTTTGTTTTCTTTCCAGATTCAAGTACGTACGCACATTTCCTGTTTGAGGCCTTCGACACCCACAGCCACGGACTGGTCAGCTTTGAGGTGAGACACAGACTCTCCTCTCGCTCCATAACGAGGATTTTTCAGGCAGATTTCTCCACATCTGACGTGCATTTCTCATAGCTCGTAGTTCGCCCTGTTTTCTGTGCATGTGGACCTCATAACCGAGGCTTTGGGTTATGAACAGCTCACCAGTGAAGTGTTCGTTGGCTTTTTCCTGCTGCAGGACTTTGTCGTGAGCCTGTCCATCATCCTGAGAGGCTCCATCACGGACAAGCTCAACTGGGCCTTTAATCTCTACGATCTCAATAAGGACGGCTGCATCACCAGAGAGGTACCGGACCTCCTCCGGGTCTGTGTGAACCGACCCCTGCTGTGTTTCCAGCTCAGATGGTTTCCGTTTCCTCCCTTCTGTTTGCTCAGGAGATGACGGAAATAATGAACTCCATCTATGACATGATGGGGAAATGCACCTTCCCCAACATGAGCGACAGCGCTCCAAAGGAGCACGTGGAGAGCTTCTTTCAGGTAAAAATCATTACAAATCTACTATTTTATGGCTGACAAATTTTGCCAAAAACCAAGAAAAATGACCCAAGAAATGAGTCAAAATCGGTTTTGTCCACATTATCAAAGAGGATCAAGCAGATTATTATTTTTTTGTTCGTTCAATCCACAGACTCAGACCACCTATCATTACTTTTTTTAGGGAAAAGCTGGAAAAAAGTTCAGCAATTTAATCAATTGTTCTGAACTAATTATACGAGCACATTTGTACTCCAACAAGTGTATTTCCTTAACCCTTTAAAGCCCGATCCAAGAAAAATAGGAAGAATATTGGATTTTTTTAGTCTGAAGTCTTTCTTTGGCCCCTCAACAACATATGAAAAAAAATAACAGAAATCATTTTTATCAAATTAGCGTGCAATAAGTAAAAAATATATTTTGGTGTAGTCTTCTACTGGCTGTTATCAGGTATTTCTGAATGTGTACAACAGGGGTTTGAGCAAAGCTTTTACCACTGAATGATGCAAAAAGTCTCAGATCCAAAAGACTTCAGAAACTGTATCAGATATGATACATTTGGGATTATAAGGTTAAGGAGCAGCCCCCCAGGCCGGTTGAATCACATCCCAAAGCTCTTCTTTAGTCGTGGGCTGCCTTTTGCTCTGTCAGATGATCCCACACATTTTCAGTCGGGTGGAGCTCTGGGGGGGGGTTCATGCCTCCATCAGACCGGTGTTGACTTTCAGTCCTCTTCTTGTGTCATTTGCTCTAGCTTCCATAGCCTAATCCTTTTTTCCTCCCGTTTTCCTTCCTAAATGGCTGACACTTCTTCTCATGTGCTCCACTTGTCCAGTTTTTCTCAAATCATTGGAGACGGTCTGCTGACATATGAGTCATTAGGAGTAAAATGTCAGGAAAACCGGGTCAGTCGAGGACGACTTTACACCCAAAGAAAAAGAAAAACAAGTTTCAGAAGCAAATCATGAGGACATGTATTGCCGTCCTCTAACTCTGTCCTCATAAGTAACAATTATTTAATGTCTCAATAAAAAGGCAAAAAGAAGGACACTTCCAACTGAAAACAAGGAAGTACACGTGTAAGTTAATGAAACTGACTGTGAGTAGCTAATCTCAATCCTCTGTAGATCTCCCTCTGGTCCAGTTTCCGGTATGGTGTTATCATAACGGAGCAGGTTTAAAATGTTTAAAGGGGCCCCTGACTCCCTCGGTCTGCTCCACTCTCATTTAATTTGCAGCTAGATCCCAGCGTAACCCTCCTGGTCTGCACACAGCTCGTTAAAAGGCTAAAAATCTTGAACTGTGTTGACTTTTTCCAGAAAATGGACAAGAACAATGACGGCGTGGTGACCATCGAAGAGTTCTTGGAGACGTGTCAGAAGGTAATTTGAATTGAAATCGTCTCCCCGTTTGATTCCCCATCAAAAGCAACCTGACCCCTGACCTCTGACCTCTTCGTGTCTTCGCCCAGGACGAGAACATCATGCAGTCCATGCAGATGTTTGATAACGCGATCTGAGCGGAGCCGGGGTCCCCACAAAGACCCGAGATCACCAACCCTAAAGCCACCTTTTCTTCTGACGTAGCAAAAGACTGAGCAGAGGGAAGGAGAGGAAAGCCGTTTTCACTCTGAGAGAGTTGGAGCGAGCCAAAAACGTCTGTTCTGCTGTAGGCCACCGAGGGAGAAAAAAACGCCGATAGAAAACTAAAAGTAACTGGATGGACGAGCGTTAACACTTTGTCTTTGCACAACGGAGCCACTGTAATAAACTCTGAGTTTAAAATGAACCAACATCCTCACAGCACCTTCTCTCTCTGTCACGTTCCCTCACATTTATCACCAGGCTGCTTGAGGAAAACTGTATATATTTTCTAAATGGAAGCAGAGAAAAATGAAGAGGAAATTCAACAAAACCTCTATAGAAAACAGGAATTTCATTATTGACCCGTTTAAATGTTTGGGTTGATCTTGAAGAGTTGATCTTGAGTGTTATAAGAATAAAATATGTGGACGGTCCAGGTCGGAGTCTGGAAAACTTTCCTCCCGTGTTGTTACTACGGCGACGGGCTTTATGATGTGTGATATACCTGCAGACCCTCCTGAGATTGAGATCTGGGGTCACAGAGATGCTGCTTCCTGGTGTCCATTTCCCCTTTAATGCTTCTGGACTAAGCTTCAGTGAGCTTTCAATTTCGAGTCAATTTTCGCTTGTGTTCCGACAATTTCACGACCACTTACGCAGTTCACGTCCCCGTGAAATGAAACTAAATCTCCGTCTCCACGGGACCGGTGTGGCGGCGTGGATCACCAATGTTTCGGGTCATTAGTGGACACGGGGAGTTTTTAGTTTGACCTGTGTTCTGATGCAGTATTGAACTTATATGTTGAGGGCATCAGCGTAGTTCACATCCTCTGGAACACTTTTCAGCTTCGTTTTCGTTGTTTTTCTGTGGCAGGCGGTACCTGGTCAGGCAACTGGAACTGACCAATCAGAGCAGGCCGAGCTTTTCCCTTCAGTTTCTGTCTCCTAATACATTAATATGTAGAGGTAAAAGAAACCCTTGATCTATTTCATGTTTTATTGTGTCAGTTTTCTGGTCTTAAGTGTGTGTTCACACACCTCCAGGCCCAAAGACATCAGCCGTGACCTCAGAGGAAATAAAGCTGTGGTTCAGTTAATCTGAGAGGGGTTGTCAATAAAAAATATTTAGAGTCCATCGTTCAACCCAAAGGATAATTTACATGAGGAAAACATTTAGGGAAACTCTGTCTTCTCCGGAGTGGACGTCCCAGCAGGTTCAGTCCAAAGGAGAGGTATTGAGCCAAAGCTTAACCCTTTAACGCCTGATCCAAGAGTAAAACTAAACAGAAAATTACTTTTTTTTGTTTGAATTCCTTATTTGGCCTTTTAACAAAATATTTAAAAAGATAAAAACTGAAATACATTTTTCATATTAATAATATATTACTATGTGATAGGTCAAGATTATTTTTTGTGTAGTCTTCTGCCCCCTGTTATCAGGTGTATCTGAATGTGTACAAAAGGATTTTGAGCAAAGTTTTTACCATTAAATTATCTAAAAGGTGTCAGACGCAAAACATTTCAGAAACCGTATGTATCAGATATGATACATTTGGCATTATAGGGTTAAAATCTAAGCCCGATCCCGGACTCATCAGGCCCGTTAGCGTGTCGTGGCTCGTCTTGAAGAATGTGCTACGGGCATAGAAAACCAAACATACTGGCACAAACAACTCAAACCAGCTGTGAGCACGGCGGGGGAGGGATGATGGTTTGTTCTGCCTCTGTATGCAAACGGATTCCTAAATCCAAACGACTTCACAATCCAGGGCGGCTAACGCTAACCAGTGTGAACACAGACACAGACATCCTGTTGAGTTTAATATATCCTTTATTTTTATTAAACAAAATTTCAGTAAAAACTTTTATGAAGTAGAAAGACAAATTTCCCTGTCAGTAGTTCTCTCTCCAGCTGCAGAGCCATCATCTAAACATGTGGACTCCCGACTCCCCACAGCCACACATGAACTTCCTTTAAAATTCACTTTAAAAACCGAGGACGTCTCCGTTAATATGCTGGAAGGTACGATGGACTTTTTCCACGAAAATAACTTAGAAAAGAAGAGGAGAAATCATAAAACACAAACGGCCGTCCTGCTCTCTGTCGCCTCCGGCTGAGAGAAGTTTTTAAACCAGCAGGAGAGAGGTGACATGAAACGGTGTGGAATCAGAGACAGTGAGTCTGTTAAAAGGCAGAAAAAGCGGAGCGGTGAACAGGTGCACCGTGCAGGTTGAGCCACCTCTGGCAGTGTTTTCAACTATTATTCTCTTTTCGTTTCTCTTTCTTAATAAAAAAAAAAAAAAAAGGAAGCTACATGATTATCGTCGTAAAATAAAATCTCTTTGGCATAGAACACCCACCCAGAAGCGGAAACACACACATACGACCATACGCGCTCTTCGAAGGGTCTCCAACAGAAACCTACAAGCTTTGTCACCCTCAGAATCAGCACAATTATTCTAGAAAACAAACGTTGAGCCCTGTTAAGATTATGAGTCACAAACTCGTCGATGATTGCATATGTTACATGGGGTTTTGGGCAGAGGGGATCTCTACTGGTGACTATACACGCCTCCTCTTTGTCCCACTGAACTCCACATCAGCGCCTCCTCCGCTCTGTACTCTGAGGGGAGGAAAAAGAAAAGGAGAAATAATGATTTAGTCAAATACAATTCTGATCTTTGTTCCATTAATTGGTTCTTTTCTCATACGTCACATTACACATTAATTACCAATTAGAGGACAGCTTTCTGAGGACTGTGTGTTCACTAAGTTAGAACGTGCACGCCTCATAAGCTTTTAAACTGCACTTATATTGAGGAACTAGCTGAATTTACAGCCTCTGGAGCAGTGCATTGTGGGAAATGTATGCCTCCACAGTGTCCAGCAGCATGGACACGTGATCCTACAATGGCTTACTTATCTGTCAATTCATAATTTGAGATCCATTTACTGGATCCCAATTTAAATGAATCATATCTATATAAAATTCGAGTTACACAACATAAGGATCATCAAACAATCCCAGGATGACCTTTAAAATAGTAAAACGAGACTAAAAGCTGCGTACAGGCAAGATTTTAAACATGCAGATGGTCAGTTTGGATTAAAATGTGGGTTTAAGGGTTAAAACTGGTCATTCAATGCTGTTTATTAGTGTTTGTTGTTAAGTTTGAATGCAACTTAAAAAAAAATAAAAATGATCAAACTCCAATATAAAACATTTCAGGTTTACAAAAAAAAAAGTCTTCCGCAAGGAAAATGTTTGTCAATAAATGATGAGTAAGAATAACTTGATAAATCAAAATTCTTTACAGTCTTTCTGAAAACATTCAAGGTTCTGGCTCCTTTTAAATAAAGGCTCAGCTCCTTTTTCCTGCTGTTGTTGAATCATTTAAATAATTTTCAGTGTATTTGGTTGATTTTAGTTTAGGATCTTCAGTATGGGAGAAAAATACTTTAATAAAATTTTAACGAGGACTTGACAAACTTTCACGACATGCTGCCTGTAATTTAAAACAGCTTCACTCTGTGTTTGGCTTTGATTCAAATGTTGTTTTAGGCTAAGCTAACAGGGCCTGCTCATAGATACGGTTTGGTTTTTCCGGTGGATTTGGAAAGAAGCCTTTAGATAAACCAGGAGTCAGAAGCCGAGCGTGTCCACCTGAGCCTCACAGCTAAAACTCATTTCTGGGACCAACTCCAAGAATCTGGTTCCAAAATAATCATCTGATAAAAAAATAATTACATTTTTTGTGAGAAATACTGATTATCTTTAAATAGAGATGTTTTCCAATGTGTGGCTTTAAAAAAATAAGTCACATGTGCATTGAGATGAGCTCAGATCTAGGTCAGGACATATTCAAGTTTATTCATTTTTCACCTCCTTAATTCAATAAAGTATTCAGTGGATCGCAGCTTTCATCATAAAAGAGGCTCTAGTGCATCTTAAAAATGTTCCTCTCTGTACAGATGGAAGTAGAGCAGAAAATGTTTTCCAGTGTTGAACCAATTCAAAATCATTTGTACTGACCATTAATATTGATCAGTATATTGTCTGTCGAAGGTTGAATAGTCATCAAGCATCCCATTTCCATCCATGCCATCAGCTTGGTATCCTGCATAGGCCGGGAAGCCATTCATCCCATCTATTTCTGCAAACAGTTACATGTTCTTTGGATTAGTCACTCACTCCAGCAGTAAGCACATTTCACCTCCTTTACAGGCGCCGGCTTCCTGCCGCCGTCACGACAAAGCCGACACACAAACGCCACAAACAGCAGGCGCTGCGGGGTTTTTTATAACAAAAGAAGCAGTTTTTTCTTCCTTTTAACGTCGCCAGTCAATCTGCTCAAAGCAGAGACTAAAAATTCTTAGACCGTAAAAGGAAAGAAAGGGTAAGAGAGGGAGACGATGAGGATCAAGAGGAAAAAAAAAAGCTACCAGAGATAAACAGACACCAGAATGGAGGTCAAAGGAAGAGAAGCTTTTGGATTCTGAAATACTAAATTTGAATTAAAAACGACTTGTGTTGCTAGCATAACAATGGATCTGTTTTTCTAACGGGCTGCAGGTAAATGCTAAGAAAACTCCAATAACCTCCCATTGCTGTGCGATTACCTATGAATAAGCTTCTTTTTTAAGGTTATTGTTAACTTGTATTGTATACAAATAATAAATAAAATAATCATAAAGAGGGGGGGTGGGAGTGGTGGAAAAAAAAGTAAGTAAAAAAAAGCAAACGTGCTTGATTCCTTAATTAGTTGGATAAATGACAGACATGAGTGATATGGAGGTTAGTGCAACAAAGAGCATTTAAATCTGTTGGAATTAGCAGGTGCTGATTTTCCTGATTGTCCCATTGACCGCAGCAGCTGAAATAAAGTCAGCGGGCAGCTGCAGGGGATCAACCTGCTAACGGAGCGTTTTGCTGGCGGGGAGCAGGAATGTGCTGCGCGGGCACATTTCAGCCACAGACTCACCATCTGGGTATCCTCCGTCCATGGGGGGGGGCGTTGCGGGCCTGCCGACGGGTCAGAGAGGCAAAGGTCAGAAAACAGGGCTTTGACAGAGCCGGCGTATTTAATGGCATCAGCAGTAACCTTTGAACTTTAACCCAATAATGCCAAACGTATCATATTTGATACATAAGGTTTCAGAAATGTTTAGCGTCTGACACCTTTTGCATAATTTAATGGTAAAAACTTTGTTCAAAATCCTGTTGTACACAATCAAATACACCTGATAACAGGGGGCAGAAGACTACACAAAAAATAATCTTGACTTATCACATAGTAATAAATTATTAATGTTAAATCTTTATTTCTGTTTTTTCTTTTTACATATTTTGTTAAAAGGCCAAATAAGGAATTCAAACAAAAAAAAAGTAATTTTCTGTTTTGTTTTATTCTTGGATCCGGCTTTAAAGGGTTAAAAGTCTGTAAAGTTACGCGATTTTTCAAAAGGAAAAAAACAAACTAAGTGGAAGCGATTCACGCTAAAGTCAAAACGGGAAGAACCCGGTTAAGGACTTGTGGTGTTTTGCCTCCGGGCAGCAGGGGGCGCCACACACTCACCATCTCCCAGGCAGTGGGGTCGTGCTTGAACAGGGTGTGGGTGAGCTCCACAGACATGCGCTTCTTGAACTCCGGGTTCTTATCCTCGGACATGCGGAAGAGCACAGCTGCAGCGTAAGTGGCTGCAGGGGGAGAAAAAGAAAAAAGAGAGAGAGGAGAAAAAAATAAATAAATCAGCAAACATCAGATGACGTGCAAAAGAAAAGGCTGGAGCAATGCTGTGTGAGTGTGCACGGGCCGCCTCGGGTCTCTGTAATGAGTGGAGCGTGCATGTGTGCAGTGAGCCTTAAAGGTCAGGAGAACAAACAACACAATGTCAGCAAACACTCTGAATGTCGGAGGTATCCGCATTACGACCGAGAACAAACAGCCCACACAATAAAACTCCAGAGCCCGGTTTCTGAATTTAGCCTTATAATCGGAGGAGTCTGAATAGGTTTAGAAAAGAAAGGTTCAAAGAAAGATGACCATCAATGGGACTTGATCTCAATGTAAAATCCCGGGCTCTGAACACACAAACACACACACACAGACCCACACACACATACACACACACACACACACACACACACACACTCTCTGGGACAGCCTCCCTTGTAAAGCTCACCCAGGCCTCCACTGATTCGGGCCCCAGGCAGCTTTGCAGCACATCACCACTTATCTATCTTTAAATGTGGAAGCTCAGCCTTTTGTTTCCCCGTTCCTTCAGAGTTTGGGTCTTTTTTTAAATCTGCTTTAGATAAAGCGCAACGTTCCCGATCACCACACGAGGAACAGCCCGATTTTCTGCATTCTGCTCATCAGTGCAACCCCCCCGACCCCACCAGGACCCCCCCATTCCCACCCGGAGAAACCGCTGACTCAGGGATTTTGCCCGGAGAAAAAGCTCCGATGTGTCTGATGGGGGTTCTGACATAACGGCCAGACAAAAGCTTTTGGTTTTTGGCTGGGATGCTGCAGTGGGATGTTCACCCAGGTGTTGGCTCAGGATTTCCTCAGGAGTCGCATCAGCTCTGGTGTCTTTTTCCGACCGGTCAGATCCACTCTGCAGCTCTAAATAATTAAAGTCGACCCACAGACGTCGTGAAAGGAAGCTCCTCCGGGAAAACTCCCCTAAAGCTCTCCTGCCCCCAGAGTAGCTCACTAGAGTCCTGAACAATGTTTTCTTCTATTCCGGAGGAACGGCTGCTTCCCTCTCAGAGAAGTTTCTTAATGTTTCTTAAGAAACATTTGTTTCTTAAGAGATTATCAGATCTGTCCAGAATCTGAGTTTCTATGCTGGTAAGAGGCAAACAAAAAAACTAAACAAAAAAACCTACCGACGAAACTGTTTCTATGTTTTAAACGCCTGAAAAGCTAATAAAAAATAAGATGAGCTCGTATATATCTTGAGCAGTGTTCCAGTGTAGGGATGTCCCGATCCAGCTTTTTTAACTTCCGATCCGATAACGATCCCGGCCTATCAGAGCATGTTTTAAAGTTTAAAGTTATCTATTCTACTTTCTTAGTTGTCAGACTCATGTTGAACAGGGATTTACTCTGATAACAACTTAATGGTTAAGACACAGACCTGTGGGTCAGGATATGCTAATGCTAATGTGGGATCGGACTTTAGAGAAAAGAAATGGATCTGGAGTCTGAATCTGGATTTTTTTGCAAATATCGGCGGCCGATCCGATCCAGATATCGGATTGGGACCGGCCTATTCCAGTGTTTGGGTCTTTATCAGCAGTCTCAGGTGTGACAGAACAGTGGAAACATGCAGGACAGCGAGTCTGGATGACCAGGGTTGGGAAGCTAAAGTACTCCGTCTCCCAGAGTCACCAGGAAAACGCGGCGCACGAACTGGGCCTCCTACCGATGCCTTCGTTGTCGTAGTGCAGCATCTCCATCAGCGGGGGCGAGGCTCCCTCCTGGTCCATCAGGTCGGCCGCCGCCCGGTCCTGGGCCAGCTCACACAGGGCGCCGGCCGCCACGCGCTTCACGTTCTCCGTAGACGAGTAGAGCAGCTGCAGAGCAGAGGACAGGTGCAACAAACCTCGTTAACTCATTGGCTGCCAAAGACGTCTACAGACGTCAATTCAAATACAACCGTTGACCGCCAAAGACGTCTATAGACTTCTTTTATGTTTTTCAACGAAAGTGGCTGGGGGACGATCTGCTAAAGCTTGTCCCTAAATATCAGGCTTCTAGACAGAGTATGTAGTAACAAGTTGACCCTCTAGGTGGCAGTGCCACTTTTGATGGGAGATGGGCATAGACTGTAAGGAAATAAGAAAAAGGTAACGGTTCGCTATGAGAGAACATGTCGCCGGTGAGACGCAAGTCGAGGAAGAACGGAATAAGGTAGAAATAAAAAAAAATTCCAGATGAAAGAAGAGAGTCTACTCTTTCTTTTGGTGTGTTCGGTGTTTACATAGTCATAGCACAAACTATTCTGTGGCTCTTAAAAAATCAGTCAAAATGCTCAAAAAACTCTGGCAGTATAGGACTCTCTGTTCTGAAAATGGCTGGCAGTCAATGAGTTAAAGTCCATTACCAAGACCTCCCCCGTCTTTTTTTTTTTTTTTTTTTCCCGCCCCTTGTATTTTTGTTACCTGGACGAGCAGAGGAATGATCTCGAGGTTGCCGATCTCCGCTCTGTTGATGGGATCTCTGGCCAGGATGTGCAGAGCTCCTGTGCAGCCCTCCACAATCTCCTCCATCCTGACTCCATCCTGTAAAGTAAAAGGAGGAGCGTCACTCCCGTAAAACAAACGGCGTGAAGCCGACTGGCCGACGCGCTCTGAGTAGGGTTGTCAAAAGTATCGATACTAAAATGTTGTATCCGGATAGGATACTCGTTTTCAAACATCGCTGTGCCTCTGATTTATTTATGTATTCATTTACGTTGTTTATGATCATTAACAAGACGTTAGCCTTGAACTGCTAGCTGCGGCTAATGGCTAATAATAACATGCCAACATTAATCAAGTACATATCCAACTCCGCCCACATCCAAGTCGGCCATTTTGATTACATCACCAATAGGAAGATCCCAGGCAAGAAAATCGTAATTGCCTCATGGCAATATAGACATTAATTTAAAAAGTTAAATGGATCTTTCAAACACTTAATTAAACTCTATACATATTATGTTAAACTAGTGGATGTTAAATAGGTTTGTACAATAAGTCCAAACAAGTTTAACCAAAAAATATTTATTTCTCACAATTATGAAGGCTGTAGGGTCAGGGTTAGGGTTAGGGTCATTAATGTGGGCCACCGGCCACGATAACGTCAGTAACAGGTCAGTTTGAAATGAAAGACACAATTCAGTTAAATTTTGGGGTCTTTGTTTTTATCCTTGTGGTGTTGAAAATGGTATCGAGTATTTTCCTGAGTATCGGTATCGAGTTGAACATTTTAGTATCGTGACAACGCTAGTGAAAAACAAAAACCGACTGATTCCCTACAAACGCATTCAATAGATGAAAATAAATAAATAAAATCTACCCATTTCTTCTGTCTAAAATAAATAATAATGTGTTATAGATACCCTACAGATACCCTTGCTCTGAGGGGAGCTCATGGCTCACCTGGAAGTTCTGCTGGTTGGTGTTGGAGGGGTCCAGTTTCTGGGCCTGCTTGTGGGAGATGATGAGCAGGTTGCCGAGGCGGGGGATGACCCCCGCGTCTCTCAGGGGGGCCTGGTTCTCTGGGAGCAGGGCCAGGTTACGGATCAGGCCCACCACAGCCTGTGGGCGGAGCCAAACACCAGGGTGAAGACGCGCCGGAGCCAAAAATGTGAACAACCTCCAGATTCTTTTCTTTCACATCAACCAGTCTGTGTGTTCCTGTGTAGGCTGCCTCTCTCTTTCTCTCTCTCCATCTCTCTCTTGCCCTCTCTCTCTCTCTCTCGCACTCTTTCTCTCTCCCTCTCTGTCTGTCTCTCTCTCTCTCTCTTGCCCTCTCGCTCTCTCCCTCCTAACTGGTCGAGACAGATGCCCCCCCCATCTCTGGTTTCTGCCTCTTAAAAGGAATTTTTTCCTTCCCTGTGTCTCCTAGTGCTGCTCTTGGTGGGAATAGTTGTTATTCTGTAAAAAACTCCAGAGTCTGAGCTGCTCTGTTTGGAAAGCTGGGAGATAACTGTAGTTGGAATTTGAAGCTATAGAAATAAAATTGGACACAGACAGATCTGCCTGCCCCCCCCCACCCCGCTTTCCTATCGGGGATCCACCGTTTCCCCCAAACCGACTCGTCCCCACCCCCCCGGATCCCCCACCTTGATGACGGGCCAGTGGTAGGGCTGGTTCAGCAGCTGGACGATGGCGGGGATGCCGTAGTGGATCCTGACGGCGTTCTGGGCCAGCTCGGCCTGCTGGTGGCGGGAGGTCAGGTGCCTCAGGGCGCACACGGCCGGCTCCGTCACGTCCTCCTTCACGCCGGCGCGCAGGATGGTGTGGATCAGCGCCTCCACGCCGTTGGACTGGGTGACCAGGGACTTGTTGTGGGCGTTGTTGCAGGTGAGGTTGGACAGGATGCCCGTGGCGCAGGTCAGCATGTGCAGGTCGTCCGACCGCAGGTAGCCCACCAGCAGCTGCAGCAGGCTGTCCAGGCCGTCCTGGGGGGGGGGGGGGGGGGGAATCAGCTTCAGGTGAGCCGGGAAAATACGGAAACACGGGACAAACGGACGGAGATGTTCGGAGTACGGATGTCCTGATCAAGCTTTTTTCACTTCTGACCCAATTCGGCCTATCAGAGCATGTATTAAAGCCGATAGGTGTTGAATAAAAATCATTTTAGGGTATATTTTGTGTGTTGTGAAGGATCTAAATATAGATATTTGCTCACATATTCAGGCAAAAGAGTCAGACGCAAAAACCTGTGTGCTTAAGTCTAAAAACATCAGATGGGCAGAGCAACAGAAGCGTAATCCAGGCTGCCGCGTGAAAAATGTGGTCGCATGTAGGAATGTCCTGATCCAGCTTTTTGTACATCCGATTCCGGCCTATCAGAGCATGTGTTAAAGCCGATGGGTGTGGGATAAAAATCATTTTAAGGTATATTTTGTTTGTTGTGAAGGATCTAAATACAGATGTTTGCTCACATATTTAGGCAAAAGAGTCAGATGAGGGAACTCTCTGCTTACAGCCTCTAACAGTCATGTTTTGAGCCGGGAAACACAAAAACCTGTGTGCTTCAGTCTAAAAACATCAGATGGGCAGAGCAACAGAAGCGTAATCCAGGCTGCCGCGCGAAAAATGTGGTCGCATGTAAGAATGTCCTGATCCAGCTTTTTGTACTTCCGATCCCGGCCTATCAGAGTATGCATTAAAGTTTAAAGTTATTTATCTACTTACTTAGCTGTCAGACTCATGTTGAACAGGGATTTACTCTGATTACAACTTAATGGTTAGGACACAGACCTGTTAGAGGATAATGATGCTAATGCTAATGCTTGTGTGGGATCGGACTTTTAAAAAAAACTGGATCTGGAGTCTGGATCTGCATTTTCTCCAGCCAGCCGATACGCAGTTTTTTGCAAATATTTGCGGCCGATCCGATCCAGATATCGGATCGGGACCAGCCTAAAAGATATATATGATCTCATCTTTTCTATTATCTTTTCGGGCCTTTAAAACATAAAAACAGTTTTGTCGGTAGATTTTTTTGTTGTTGTTTGCCTCTTACAGCATATAAACTCAGATTCTAGACAGATCTGATTATCTCTTAAGAAACAAATGCTGTTATACTCATGACACAGCCATAGTACGCTGTGAAGAGTGGAGTGTTGAACAGGGATTTACTCTGATAATAACAGGACACAGACCTGTGGGTTAGGAGATGCTAATGCTCGTGTGGGATCGGAAAACTGGATCAGGAGTCTGGATGCTGGCCGATACGCCTTTTTTTGCAAATACGGCAAAAAATATCGGCCGATCCGATCCAGATATCGGATCGGGACCAGCCTGGTCCGGAGTGAGTTCTGACCTGTTTGGTGGCGGCGTCGGACAGGTTCCTGAGGGTCCACAGGCAGTTCTGCGTCAGGCGCTGGCTGGAGCCGGTCAGGTGTTTCCCCAGAGCCTGCATCCCACCTAAAGGGACAGAAGGGGTCAGTCGCTGGGCTCTCAGCGGCCTCTCATTAACTCATTGACTGCCAGCCATTTTCAGAACAGAGTCCCATACTGCCAGAGTTTTTTGAGCATTTTGACTGATTTTTCAAGAGCCACAGAATAGTTTGTGCTATGACTATGTAAACACCGAACACACCAAAAGAAAGAGTAGACTCTCTTCTTTCATCAGGAAAAAAAATGTGTTTCTACCTTATTCCGTTCTTCCTGGACTTGCGTCTCACCGGCGACATGTTCTCTCATAGAACCGTTCCCTTTTTCTTATTTGCCTACAGTCTATGCTCATCTCCCATCAAAAGTGGCACTGCCCCCTAGAGGGTCAATTTGTTACTACATACTCTGTCTAGAAGCCTGATATTTACGGACAAGCTTTAGCAGATCGTCCCCAAGCCACTCGCATTGAAAAACATAAAAAACATAGACATCTTTGGCAGCCAATGAGTTAACGGCCACAGATCGGGTGTCAGAGCGGCCTGAGCACACAGGTGCGCGCGGCCTCGGGAGAAAACATTCTGCACATACCGGCCTCCACAATGGCGGGTTTGTTGCTGGGGCACACGGAGAGCACTTTGAGCACGCGGCTCGTCGTCCACAGCAGCTTCTCGTAGTTGTAGTTCCTCATGATGTGGACCAGACCCTCTCCACCCCCGTTGTTGAGGATGATGAGCTGTGGAGGAGGAGAAAAAACACAACAACATCTTTTACAGATACAGCAGCTGGATGGATGGTTTTGTTGTCCCTCTTTCTTTTTTTTTTTTCTCCTCTCTTCCTGTCTTAGGGATCTCTTTTTTTTCCTCCTTTCCTGTCCCCCGGTCATGTTTGGCATTGACCATATTACTTATGTAACAAGGCCTCCCTTGGCAAAGTAAAAGTGTTGGGCACAGCACGGCACTCAGATTACAATTCTGTTGCCATAATGCTAAACACGACATGGTGTAAATAAAAAAAAAATAACAAAAGAAAAAACAACGCGCCGCTTTTCAAAACTGCCCACTTAACCCTTTAAAGCCTGATCCAAGAATAAAACAAAACAGAAAATTACTTTTTTTTTGTTTTAGGTCTTTATTTGGCCTTTTTACATATTTTGTTAAAAGGCCAAACTAAAATAAATGTTTAATATTAAAAATGTATTACTATGCGATAAGTCAAGATTATTTTTTGTGTATTTTTTGTGTAGTCTTCTGCCCCCTGTGATCAGATATATAGGATTTTGAGCAAAGTTTTTACCAATAAATCATGCAAAACGTGTCAGACGCAAAACATTTCAGAAACCGTACGTATCAAATATGATACATTTGTCATTATAGGGTTAAAAAAAACTCCTTTTAGTGTACGGCTCCGCAGCAGGTGAACAGCCTTAATCCTCTGACATTGTTGGATAAGTGGCCCCACCCTTTCACCTGCCCGAGCAGCCCTGTTCACACGCCACACCCAGAACTGAACCCGGCACGCACGAGCAGATCAGTTTCTCCTGTCGCACGCTACCGTATCCGTCCTGAACATCGGATCGGCCGCGGGCACGAGCAAATAAAGCTAACCTTGCTCTCCTGGTTGTTGTAGGCCAGCAGCTGCATGCAGTCTGTGGTGATGGCCAGGAATTTGGGGTTGGTCTTCTTCAGCAGGGGCACCATCTTGTGGACCCCGTCGGCCAGGCGCACGGCCATCTTGGCTCCCTCCTGGTGCAGCAGCAGGTTGTGGATGGTGGTGATGGCGTAGAAGAGCACCGACTCAATGGGGGAGCTGAGGAAGACGAGCGGGGGGGGGGGTTAAACTGTCCATCTTCACAGCGGCATATTTTCCATTTGTCTGATTTGAATCCTTTTCTATCCGACTTGTGTCATTTTCCCTTTAAAACTGGCTTTTCATTTCAGACCACGCCTGGCTCATTCTCTTTGTTATAGTCATTGAACACTGAAATGGACCAAAAAAAGCAGCTGAACTAAAAATATCTGCACAGCAGAGACAGTCTTTCAGCCAGGATCTGATGCAAACTTCAACCGCCTTTCTAAACTAACTCTGCTTTTTAAGGGAAACATGTCCTTTATGGAGCACACCCATCTTGTTTTTGTGTATTATTCATCGAATACTCTGACATAAGCCCCTTTTTTATTAAGTGTTTTTCTACCACTGTACTGACATTCATATCTATTTATATATATTCATAATACATCTGTATATGGCCATAATATATTTATCTAATTCATTCCCACCTCTCTGTACTGCCCTTATTTGTGCATAGCTGCTCTTATACCACATACTGTATAAACGCCACACTTAGATGCCAAACTGCTTTCTAAAAATATTTCCCTGTGACGATGATGAGCTCATGATCTAAGCGGCGCCCGTTTCCAGCAGATCGTCCGTTTTTACCTGAGCATGCGAACGAGAGCGGGGATCCCTCCCGACTTGAAGATGGCGAGCAGCCCCTCCCTCTGGTGGGACAGGTTGTGGAGGATGCTGGCTGTGGCCCGCGCCGTCTCCATGTCGCTGGTGTTCTGCATCACCCGGACAACCGCCGCCACCATCTGGGGCGACTGCATCAGCGCGTGGCGGGACGCCTCTTTGCGCGTCAGCTGGTTGACGATCTGCGCCGCCTTGCTCACCACCACCTTTAAAAAGAAGAACGGGAGAGCTTTAGGTTTGCTTGATTCACTCCCATTTGGACATGCTGAACTTTTTAAGTTCCCCTCCATAACACTTTAAAATTTGTCAGATTAATGTGACTGATGTTAAAGTGACTTTGCAACTATTGGCATATTTTTCATGACTGTAAAAGCAGAACTCAAACCAAAACAGTACGATTTGACCAAACGCAGCTGAAAAACTGTGAAAACTAGAGTGGGCCGTGGACAGACCCCTGTGGGACTCTATAGTGGACAGTATGGGACAATCATGATTCAATTTATAAAAGAAAAGAGATCTTTGAGAGAGCTCAGATATCAAGAGATCTCTCTGTTTATAAGAATTGATCATTGGTGGCAAAAAGATCTGGTAACAGGATACTTAAAGACTTGAGTAACCTTGTTTATTCTCAGGAAGTCGAGATCAGATGAACTCTGACAGTTAGAAAAGCTGTGGTCCTCCATAAGTGATGGTGAACCGTCCAGACTGCCCATGAAACTCTTAAGAGGTTTCCAGATGGGTCCAGAGAGCAACAGCTCACATTCGGTCTGGTTCCTCTAAATATGATCGCAGCTCTTTTGTTCTTTCTTCCTGTTCAGGTCTGAGCAGACATCAGTGCTTGCTCTTAACTTATGAAATATTAAATGGCAGAGCACAGAGGCAGACAGACCCCATATAGTCACTGAAAAATCAGGGGATTGAACACCTGAGGCCCAACCAAAGAGACAGCCGCAGAGACGTGATGGATGGGCCTTTTTCCAGATTTGGACAAAGCGTTTTATTTCTAGGATGGGGCATATTTTTCTCTGTCGGTGAGAATCAACTGTTTCTCTGATGCGTTGTGTAATCGTAAATAAATCATAGCTTTTATAATGCCTGTGGGGATTTGACTCATTATTGTTATTGTTGGTTTTCACCATGATGCAGGCTGCTGCCAAACAAATGTCTCAAAGCTTAAAAAAGGTTTTGAGCAACGAATTAAAAAACAAAAACAGACTTAAAATAGAGGAAAAGCTTAAATAAAAAGCCAAAAAAAGCTAGCTTATACTGGCTAACCAGGCTGAGCACTACAGTGGGCGGACTGGTTTTCCTCACCTGGTCCTCGTCGTTGAGCAGCTTGGTGAGCTCGGGCACGGCCCGCGTGGCCAGATCGGCGTCGTCCTGGTAGTTGATCAGGTGGATGATGGCGGTCTTCAGCATCTGCGAGGGCTCGGCCAGCCGCTGGACGTTGGTCATCTGGCCCTGGTCGGTCTGAGTGGACAGGATGGTGGTTCCCCCCTCCAGCGTCTCCGGGAACATGGCGGCTCGCACCCGCTGGGCTCTGGTCATCGAGTACTGGGCATCCAAGTCTGTTAGGAGGCGAGAAGATGATGAGAGGTGACGCGGGAGTGTAATTACATCCTATTATAGCCGAGTGCCTCTGTAATAGTGTTAAGAATAAACAGTTTTTCTTTTTCTCTGTGTGAACTTCAGAAAATATGTGAGCCATAATGTGAATAGTACTTGGGGCGATAATTGGTGGTGCACACTGGAACTCTAAGAAGTATTAACAAATTGTTGAATGTTGTTCATGTGTTATATTGTTTCTGTTATTTTACTGGTTTCTGATGGGAACATATTTTGTTACGCTTGTGGTGTTATTTTCGTTGTAAAGTTCGCTGGAAATATGCAAATTAGCGTCATTAATGCTGCGACCGTTATGAAGTTAAAAGGTGCTAACGAGCCCATTGCGTCACAGGAATGTCATCCATTCAACCCCTCCAGTGTGCCTTATTATCTGCCCTGTCTGTTGTTACAGGTATGTTAATATATATATAAAGATCTGTGTAGTATTTCTTATATGTGCATTTTATTTTATTTTGGTTTTAAATTTGTAAACTATACGATTTAAGTGCCTTGATTTTTTTAGTTCCACACTGTAAACAGTAGCCTATGTAGTTGCTGGTGTCTAACTCTTTAAAGATTGGGAAGGGGAATGCCATCCATTAGACCCCTTTCAGTGGGCCTCTTTATCTGCCCTGTCTGTTGTTACAGAGGGAAATAAATACTACTGGATCGAGGCCCCTCTTCTCTCCCGTCTCATACTTCCACCACTCAAAGACCCTTTAAAGGAGACATATTATACCCTATTTCAACAAAGTTAAACTAGTTCCCTGGTGTCCTAATGTAATGTCTGTGACAAGCTTTGGTCAAAATCCCATAAGGATGAAGCCCAATAGCAGTTCAGTCCCCCTGCCAAAACAGCCCCGTTCAGAGCGCTCGCTTTGGAGTGCCTGTCTCTTTAAATGCAAATGAGACACAGGCAATCCACCCACTTCTTCCGGGAGGTGTGCCCACGTCGGCACGCTAACGCTACTATGCTAACGCTACCATGCTAACGCTACCATGCTAACGCTACCATGCTACCACGGCGTCTGCCACAGATGGGCGGAGTAAGCTGAGGTGGGGGGGCAACATGCAGGTGAAAGGCTGGAATATTATAATGAGCTAGAGCTAATGACGTCAGAAACTACCCACTCCTGAAACCTCCTGATTTATCTCCTGGATTCAGACTGAGGAAGCCCACAAAAATATGAGTCATTTTTTTCACACTTTGCCTGCTGATAGGCCCTCCACAGTCCCAAATGTACATAATCAAATGATTAAAAACTTGGTTTTGCATAATATGTCCCCTTTAACTATTCTAATGCAGGTGACGGTTCGTGTGGGTTACACCTGTGAGGGGCAGCTCGCTCTTACCGGGGTGGTCGGATGTGACGGTGGTGGTCACCGTGTAGTGCTTGGTGGTGCTGTAGTCCTCGTCCTCCCTGTAGGTGTTGGCCCCGGACTGGATGCCGGAGTCCAGTCCGTACATGGTCTGCTGCCACTCGGCCACCTTCACCGAGCCGCTGTCAAAATCACCCACTGCCAGCCGGGGAGATAAAGTCAACACTCAAAGGCCAGTCGGGGAGTTCAGCCCAACACTTTTACACCCTTTGAATGAGTTCCACAAAAATAAAAGAGCTTTTTTTTTAATAGATGAAACCTTTAGAGTCGCTGGTATTGCGGAAGTGGCCTCAAAATGAACCAAGAAAACAATAGTTGGAAGTTGGAAAGGTCATGATCAAAGTGCTCGACACCCTGTTTTGAAGCCATTTTTTGGAAAAGGGTGAAAACAAGCTGATATGAAATCAAGAAAGTCCACATATTGTTTGCTCTGGGTAAGTAAAGATTTTATACAAAATTTAACATGAAATGTCTGTTTCTTTACATTTATTTTTTTTAGAATATGTATCCCACTTTTATCTGTTTTAAAATTTTCAGAAACTGTTACTATATGTGATCTATTTTCTATTAAACAATCCAACTCTGACACTTTCATTAGTTTACTTTTTGTGGTTCGGTTGTTGCCAAAAATAAATCCCCAATAGAAGTCGAGAAGTTGGTTGCAAATATTTTTTTTATTTTTGAGAAGCTTAAAGTGACATAAATCGTCCCAAAATGCATAAGTTTTATGAACTCACTAAGCTAGTTCTCTGTAGAATAGCTGGAATAAAGCTTAATATTTCTCAAATATTTGAGATTTTCCTCTGCATTTAAAGTCTAAAGCAGGAAATAAATTTACATTTAAAAAAAGTGAGACTGGTCACTGACAATGACTTAAGTGAATGTCTAAAAGACAAAATCCAACTGAAACAGGATGAGTGGGAAATGGAGGACAACAGAGCTGAACGACTTACTTTGCATCTCCATGCTTGTCCCTCGTTTTCAAATCAACAGCAAAGCGAACCTGCAGCAAACAGAGAGAGATGAGGTTAGGTTTTCCTCCCGCTGCGAATACTAAAAAATGCCTCTGACGAGGCGTCCATCTTTGCGTGAGTGCCGTCCTCACACGACCCTGTCACTTTGTTTTTCTGCCCGTCAGTCACCCCCCCCCCACCCACCCAGCAGCCACGCACCCTGACCTGAAAACGACAACACGGAGGACGGCAGTGTATTTCAACCTGGGGCTCGGTGGGTTTGGATTCCAGTGGGTGAGAACAGGAGTCACACAAAAACACACAAAAAAACCCTCTAAAACAAAATATCTGTGGCTGGATTTCAGATTTGATAACATCTGCGTAGCCTTTGGGTTTATGGCCTCGTGGAGGACGTTTGTGGTGGTGCGTCCACATGTTGGAGCACCTCTGATCTCACGTTTGCTTGATAAAAATCACCACGTTTGGCAACCGTGTGCAATCCAAAAGTGGGACCGGGCCTTTCTCAGACAAAAGTGCCGACGGGAGAGGAAAACAACCCACGGCAACTTGATATCACTCACTCGTGCGTGCGCAATCAAACCCAACGCTTGTGTTTTTTTATCAGGTTTCTTGTTTGTGTGAGTGACATCCCCATTCACGGGCTCGAACACAAAACATCTGCCTGGCAGATTCGTGCCTGGCTGTTTTTTGCCTCGGCTCTGGATGTCATTCGCCACAAGAATTCCCTCTGAATCACAAAGCAGATCTGCATCCATAATAGCCGCCTGCCACTTCGTGTGACATATGACTGACGCTACAATGCCTCCACTGTGCGGCTCACAAGTGTTTTCAGATGTTTGGCTGCTGGTGAATTCTTTTTTCCGGGGCCCATTGTGCCCGTGTGGACCACGCAGCCGAGGTATGACGCGCCCACAAAAGCCCCGGCCGACAAAGGGAGAGACAGACTCCCATCATGGACGTGACAGACGGTTAAAGTGGTTCAGCGTGCAGGAGCGTGTACTTTTGTCCTCCATCTTTATTGCTCGTAAAAACAAGTTGAGACTAAAAGAACGCTGTCAGGCTGCTGCGTTGGCACAAAGTGAGCCATAAACGCTCCTGTTCCCACCTGTACCTGTGCTCAGAGGGGCGGACCCAGGCATGCAGTCAGGGCTGATCTCAGAGGGAGTTAGCAAACACAGGCCGCGTAATCGGAACAATCAATGAAAGCCAGCACCTTTCTCAGGCCCTTAGGAAGGTTTGCATCCAACTCTGAGCAGTTTTATCCTTAAAACATCCCTTTTTTTTTGCTTGTGTGCTTTGTTTTTCATTAGTATTTGCACACACATCCAGCAGAATGTGTTCATTACACATTCCTCCTGAGTCAAAGCCGTTCCTCTTTGCTCTCGGCGACCATTCGTTGGTCGAAAAAAAACTAATTGTTGAGCATTTTTGTGGAGCCGTGTGCGTCCCCCCCTTCCCTCCCTCCCTCCGTGTCATTCTGAGAACATGTTTTCTGCTAAACCTGATACTCTGTGAGGTTCCAACATGCCCGTGCGTCTCTGTTCGCAGCTACGGGGAGAAGCGGCTCGGCGGGTTTGACGCCGGAGCGAGTCTGGCACCAGATCCTGCGGGACCGGGCCCCGGAGGACTGTCTGAACTCGCAGCTGCACGCTGCCTTCATGCACTGAGTCATCAGCCCGCCGACGACTGGGCTTCCTCACAGCTACATGCGAAGGTGCATTTTCTTGTTAAATAAAAAATAAAAAAACCCAGAAGTTAGACACAGTTTAGTTTAGCTTTTCAAAACAAGCTTAAAAAGACATTCGCGTTAAAAGGGAGGCTGGCTACAGTCTTCTCTCTGCAAATCAGAGGCAGTGTTTGTGTTGCATTTGTTTTCTTGGGCGCGGCAGCGGTTTCAGTGAACTGTTGCAATGTTGGGACACACCCTGCCAATTTCCAAGTTACCTCTGAGGCCATTTTATCTCCCGAACTATCTGACAACCATCTCCTATCTTAGGACTCAGCCCACAACCACTTCTGTTTAGAAAGAAGCTCTAAATACCCAAATAAATAATAGATCTCTTTATACTTGGATAAGACATTTTCTTTTGGCTGAAATGTAAATGTTTTGAATGGAAGGTATAGAGAACACTACAGGAGAACTTGGCTCCATTACATATAGAATCGGCCGATCCCTCCTGCTGTGTTCAGGGGCGACCATAAACAGAGAAAAGGCTGTTGTGTACCCCACAACGGACTTTGCTCCACTCTGGTTAATGAGTGACGCCTGCTTTCCCTCTCACTGCACCCTGTCCTGACGTTACCACCTCTGCTTATCGCTCCCAATGCTGATGAGGCTAAACCCGGAGGAACCCACACATTTCCCACCAGCCTCCTCCCACCGGCCTGTTGAGCAACGGCCTCCGTGCATGACTCGGGGAGGCTTCTTTAAGAAAAAAAAAAAAACATCCAGTCCAGTAAAAGCAGGAATGCGTGTCAGCCAGAGCTGCCAAAAAGCAGCCGTGGACACTTCCCAGCGCTCAAACACTGGTGTGACATTCCACGCTCACCCTGCATGTTCCAGCTTTAAACCAACTTTAAAGAGAAAAAAACAACAAAAAAAGAAGCAAAGTGACACTATTCTGAAGTCAAACTTTTGTCTGACTCATAACAAAGTGCTGAAACTACGCTAACAAAGGATGAGTAAATGCTGTGAGTGATGGGAACATGCCGTCCTGCACCCCCCCCCCACAGGCATGTCAGACGGGGAGTGTCACCTCTCAGTAAGGGAGTGTCTCTGCGTGGGTGAGGCCCAACTCACCCCAAGGAAATGTAGCACTTAGTGCTCGACTGACAAGGGTTTTTGTTTTGTTTTGTTTTTTAAACCGAGCAGAGAAATGAAAACCGGCCCAAAGGTTGACTTTGCCGGGCTGTATTCTTAATCAATCAATCAATCAATGTTTATTCATATAGCACTTTACAACAACTGGAGCTGATCAAAGTGCTTTACAGAATAAAAAACAGATCAAACTATCGAACAATACAAAATAATACACAAAGACAAACATATTGGTGACAGAACCCAGTACACAGAGATCCTACGTGCAAAAAGCCATCCTGAACAAATAAGTTTTGAGTTGATCTTAATGTCCCGACAGGAGTGAATCAGGTCAGGGACGAGACGCGGGGGGCCGGGATAAACCCCGGCAGCATCCAAACACGCTCCGCAGAGTTTGGAGCAATTTGTTATTTAGACTTATGCTTGTTTGGCCGGGAGGGGGGTAAACAGAACATCCCCGAGATTTAGCTGCTCGCTCTGCTGGGCTTTTACACGCCTGCTTGGGAACATTAGGCATGCGCAAGTGGAAGAAAGGAACGCTTTTGGGGGAAAAATGTGTCTTTTTTTTCTCTCTCCGTCTTTCAACTCTGGACTGAGTGAGCAGAAAAGGCTTAGCATAAAGACTCCAGACAGGTGGAAGCTGTTAGCGTGAGCCGACACGCAACATCCTGCATGTTAAACAACAACAACAACAACAGGGAAAAGTTTAAAATGGGTCTTTTGAACTTTTCTGGCCAAACTTCTAACTGATCATCAAATCTTCTCATCCAACTTGCATCGAGAGGGCAAATGAGCAGAAGAGAGCATAGAGGATAAGGACATGTGCTGCTAACGTGGTTTTTAAAAGACTTGGCAGTCTTGTGTTTAGGCTGACAAGCAAATAAAGCAGATTATGCCAGCACACATCTGTAAAGCTTCTTGCACCATCTGGACCAATGAAGTATTTGACATATAGGTCAGCCCCCTCCCTCACACACACACACACACACACACACACACACACACACA